TAAAATAAATGACGAGCTTTATTTGAAAGAGACTCTTCCTTTGTTCTACACCTTGAGGAATATTAGAATGGGAAAAACAACAATTTATCATGATAAATGTGCATTTTTCTTTTTGTGTTATTTGCTTAAGCCTAAAGGAACTTGTTCAGGATATTACTTTTCTTTCAAGGTATATATATATAGTCTTTTCTAATCAAATGATTCGAATATTTTAGAGAGACACTACAACTATTGTGAAGATATAGAATTAAAGGGTAATTTACTAAAAAAAATCTAGTAATGAGCTTTTATAAAATCTCTATAATACTCTTTAACCGGGCTATTTTAAACTATAGATCCACATATCAATCCAACTCGATTTGGGTATTACAATTCGGGTTAGATCAATTATTTTAAATCGAATGAAATTTTATTGAATATGCAAACAGTATAATACTAGTGTATCTCAAGTGTAACTAAGGTAATTTCATCAAGTCAATTCAAACTTCTCTACAACTAATAATATATGATTCTAGGATACTTAGTATCATTTTTTCTAATTTTCTATGATTTTAGGATGAATAAATTTTTAAATAAAATATTTTTGGGTTAAATCATTGTTTGAATGTAACTCATTAAATTTTAACTAAATCTATCCAAACTTCTCCTAGTATCAATTTTTTATTTTTATATAAATTTAGAATGATTAATTTTTAAAATATATTTTTTTTTTGTTGAACTTGTTAATAAGTATAACTTAAGTGTTACACAAGTGTAACTCGAGTATAACTCTTTGAATTTTCATCAAATATATTCATACTTCTTTGAAACTACTAGGATGATATGCTAATATATTTAAATTTTTAAAAAAATATATATGAATTTAGGGTGATTAATTTTTGAACTAGGATATTTTTATGTTAAATTTGTGATCCAACGTAACTCAAGTGTAATTCAAATTAATTTTTATCAAATTAATCTAAACTTCTAACACATTATTCTAAGATATATAGCATTATTTTTAATGAGTTTAGGATGATTAAATATCCAAATAAGATATTTTTTGGTTGAATATATAATCAAGTACAACTAGAGTGTAACTCCAATTAATTTCCAACAAACCAATCTGAACTTCTCCATAACTATTAGTACATTATTATAAGATATTTAGCATCACTTTTTCTATTTTTTATGAATTTAGGATGATTAAAATTTGAACATATGATATTAGTCCTTAGATAGTCTAATTATAAGGATATATAGGTGATACCATCGTTCATTTGAGAAATTATTTTTGTTGAATTATAATCGAGTATAACTCGAATTAATTTTCATCAAGCCAATCCAAACTTTTCCAAAACTACTTAGACACATTTATAATTTATAATATATTAAGGATAATTTATATAAATATTAATATATATTTTTAATATATAATGAGTGTAACTCAAGTAATTTAGGATAACTTTATATAAAAATTAATAATTTTTTGGGATAACTTGAGTTATTTAGTTTTATTATAAATTTAGGATTCTTTTGTATTGAATGGGTATAATTAAGTGTAATGGCTAATATAGGCAAATTATGAGGAGGAAGAGAAGGGGAGGAGTAGGAGAAAAAAAAAGAAGAAGAGGGTGAGGGAGACGAAGACATGGAGTGAGAGGGGGAGATGGAGTGGAAAGAGGAGGCAAACTAGAGATAGAGGAGGTGTGGGGTAATTCAAAAAAATCAAGAGGCAATCTATGGTTTATTAATTAAATAATTAAAATTTAGTTAAATTGATCTGTTCAATTCATCTTAGAAAATAATTTAGTTCCTAAAAACTAAGTCAAGCCTAGTCAAAGGACAATCACTATATAGGGGTGTCATAAAATCCCTAGAGGCTTTTTTTGGTAAATTATCTTAGAATAAATATAGATTAAAATTTAAATTGGGATACAAAATAATGAATATTATTTAAATCAAATATATCATGATTACCTAATTAAGATGCTATGTTAATTATATCAATTGTATTGTAAATAAGAAAAATATATAAACAAATCTGGAAAATCAAGGAAGATGAGAAAAATGGAAATATATTATATATAAGAGCTATGAAATGACATATGACGACTTCATGTTTATGTTTATGTAGGTAAACATAACAATTTAAGTGATTTTGAGATAATGGTATTGTGTTTTACCAAGATTATGATAATATTTTCTAAGGTAGAAATATATTAGGAAAATAGAAACTTTCTCGGATATCAAATAATATGATGATAGATTATAATGAACATTAGATTTGTGTTGATAATTACATATTAGCGTACCTAATATAACGATATCTCGGTTTCTATACTTTCAAAAATATCATAAGTGAAATATTTAAGCTCGTTCTCTTTACGTCCGTTGTCGATTCTACTAACAAAAATACTATACTTGTTTAGTAATACATCGGAGTGAAGCAAAATCGATACGTACTCAATTATAAATCCTATGATATTTTCGTTAACCGAATCGACAACACGAGGAGAAACAAGATTAAATATTTTACTTGTATAAGTATAAAGATCCTAATGAAATTTTTCAAAAAATAAAAATAAAAAATATTAAAATTAATCAATTACAGAAAATAATTTATAATTAACTCTCAATAGAGGGTACACGACAGAATGTACAATCTTACCGTAACATCAAACCTACCCTCATGTGCACATCGTTATCATGTAGATAGACAAGTACTCAAATAGGACCACATCATCTTGTCAGCCACCGAAACTACAGGAATCACTGTAGATATTTTCCTTTGGTGATGGTAGGTGAATCCAACCCGATGCTCTTCCGCCACAAATAAAGGTTGCATGAGGATACGTTGGCTCCACCGAGAAGGAACTCAGAGAACAAAGTAATTGCTCGTTGCCATGGAATTTAATATCCAGCTAGATCATGCTCATGTTGTACCTGTCTCTGTGCTCTGTAAATTTCATTCGTCCCTCCCTACAAAACCAATAAGGGACGATGAGGAATTAACTGTATCTGCCTCTTTAATTTATGGTCTGATTGATGTCACATCTCTGTTTTTTCTCTCCAGTTAACTAAAAATGTGTTTAGATAAGAAGAAATTATTTGTATTCGATAGAATCTAAAACTTTTGAGATAAGATCAAAACAAGATATTATAATGCTCTGATACTGTTTGTCATGATTCAAACTATTTAATCCCAAATTGATGATAATATACCTATTTAACCCTTACAAGTTTATTCAAGGTTTCTCCCACTTCCAATGTAAAACTACTGAGAGATTAAAGGATTTTTTTTTAGAGTACTGCTCCTTTAAAAGTTACAAGTCAATAGCTGAGACTCAATTTCCTCAATAAAGTTAATTTAGGAGGAATACTGAGTCTCCAATCCTTCAGCTAAGACAAAATCTATGCCTTGTGATTCTTCTTTGCAAGCACTCTCAGCAGCACTTCAACCCCTGGTTGTAGACAGGAGATTACCCTAGCAAATGCTACTAAAGAGAACTGTTCTTCCTTTGTCTAGGCTACTGGACAGCAGAGAGTTGGATGTCTACAACTTAAATACCTTAATTCACAATCAATGAAATCATCCCTCAAATATTTGGTTAAGAAACTTATAGTTAAATGGCTTTGATTCAATATTTAGACAATTGATTGATTAAGAATTTATAGTTAAATGGCTTTTGATACAGTTGAGAAATTTGTATTCAAGTTTCCAATTAATTACACAACTAAGAATCCTGTGAAATTTTCGGAGCAACCTTTATCGGTTTTCTTTCTTTTAAAAAGTAGTAATCAAGATTGGGTTAATTTCTTGTCATTATCGTACAAAAAGGCCTTCCAATTAAAATTTAAGTGTTTGAAAGAATAATGAAAACAAGAGCAGATTCAAGTCCACAATTGCTTACTGGCAGAATTGTATTCCTAGTGAGGAAGCATTTGGAACATTTAGCACCTTTCTGATGTCTGTTCTATCAAAAAGAACTGTTTAATGTCAGCAAAATGATGAGATTTCTTCTATAGCAGCTTCTAAAGCAAACTTGTTGAGGGTCATGTATTGATGTGATATCCCCTAAATGTCACCAAAAATATGTCTTTCTTGCATGAAAACCCATGAAAATTAGAAATGGTCATCAGAATACAGCAAACACAAACTGGATGAACAAGAAAGAACAGCTGCTGATGCAGTTCATTCCACGAGTACTTTGAGTTAAAAAGCAGAAGCATTTAATTTGAGTTAATTCAACAGCTGAAACAGTTTATGGACTAAAACCGAAAGATCTATATGCCTTTGGAAATACTAACTAGTATATACTTCAGATAAGAATCTTGGAATGTAAGTGATGACAGGATGCATGGTGTGTGTTCTTCACAATAGTTTTGAGTGATAAAGATGGAACATTTTATCATGAGAATCATTAGTTAAAGATTAACCAACATAAAAAATGACAGAAATTGCAGAACCTCATTTATATTCAATGTGAGGTTAGGTGAATCTGAAAGGTGATAGACCAACAACCAAAGTCAAAGCTGATGGCAAATCAGAAACTGAAGCCACTAGTACAGCCAAAGTTTCTACAAACTTCAGGCTTTGCTTCTCTTAGATGATCAACTTGCTTCAATTAAATATGATTGATATGTTGTTCGATTTGTTACTTGTCTTGATCTTGAAAATTCTGTGTCTCAGTGAACAAATCAAATTCTCATGTTAGAATTCTCCATCACAAACCATAAAGAAGACTCCTTTCTGATCTAAGGAAACCAGAACAGGTCTACTACGGAAAATGTAGGTAGAAAGAAAGAAAAATCCAACAACATGCATTTGACTAGTTCAAGGTCAGACATGCTCAGGCATGTGCAAAGAAGTAGAAATCCTGACGATGAAATTTTCAGGCATTCTAAGAAGACTTTCGAGCCCAACTGCACAGTATATATTGCCATGCTGCTGCCACGAAATATCATGAACAGTTCCGTATACTAAGAACTCTTTCAAACAAGGATCAGAAGAACTTACCATGAAGTTGAACCTTGTTCGTGCCTGCCGCATCCTCCTGATTGCAGTTGCCATCCTCCTTTGTCAGTTCTACTCGTCTGAAGCTCACAGAGGTGAGGTTTCTTTCTCCATTAAGCTCACCTCAAATGTTACTCTTCTAGCTCCAAAATGATCCTGACACAAGAAAACGAGTTCTATGAGATTGACAGAAGTGAGGATTAGGATCAAATGGAGGAGGGATGGGAATCATGCTCTCAGACCAGGAAAGTATCGACCAACTTATTAACAGAGCTTTTTCTTGTGCTTGCAGGATTGTTAGTACATGAATTAAGAGCACCATACCGATCTCCACCACCGACACCAATTCCGAGACCACCAATCATCCCGTACTACGGTTATACCCGTAAGTTTCGCTAGATTTCATATCATGATTCATGGCCTTCTAATATGCCATATTTAGAGTGGATGTGGGATTCATGGCCTTCACTAGCTAAATTAGTTGCCATCTCGATCCTAATTTAGTGGCTCCTCAATTATAAGTAGGATACTGTTGTTTACAGGACGATCAGTATATGAAGAAAGAGCACCATACAAATCTCCACCGCCACCACCTCTTCCGGCACAAACAAGTAAACCCTAAAATTAATGGAGGTAAGCTTCTTCTCTATGAGATAGTCTTGAGATAATGACTCATCACCATCTAATACGCTAATTAAAAACGTGAAGGTGCAACTCAATCCCAAGTCCTAATTACTAGCAAAGTAAGTAGACACCTCATTCGTACTATCGCCTTCAATAAATTTTTTGGTTTCGTTCTCACCTAAGTTTTAGGTTGACAATTTAAACCCTTAGTCATCATTTGATGAAAGCAAATTTGATCATAAGATCTTACTATTAATAACAAGAAATGCATAAAGATAATTGATAATGCTATCGAACATCCAAACTTCTACCAATTAAGATAGTCTTCAATACCAATTCGGATAGTTCGATCCGAAGCATTAAAAAAATTTTATTCAAGAACCTTTTTTGCCTCCAAACAATTCGGATAGTTCCATGGATATGCTTCCTCTTGAAACATCAGTACTCACCGATGTATTATACATCGTGTGTTGGGACACAAGTCCAACATGCAAAGCAGTGTTCATTGCTAAAATGTGCATAAGAATAATTGATAATGCTATCAAACATCAAAACTTCAATCAATTAAGATTGCTGGTATCTTCACTTGATTTTTAAATAACATATGAATGAGTGATAAAGGTAATAGTCAAGAATTATGCTCTTTGTTCCTATGATGATATCTTTCAATCTTTACTTCTAGAGTCATCTGAAACTATTCTTGGTAGTTTTGCTAGACACAAGCATCGTGGCAAATCAGATATCAAAACAAAAACAATTGGAAGAACAGAAACTGAAACCAAATGGTTTACAACAGAAGAAAAATTAATGATTCAACTTTAGTTACCTTAATCCTCACTGCAAAGTTTTGATCCACTATGATCACTCTTAACACTTGGGACAACAAATTGCACTCGATCAGCCAACTAACAGGCAAGACAATTGCTCTTCAAAATTATAACAGTGGTGCAATAGTACATACAATCTCTATTTTTGTGCATCTGCTTCATTCAACTTTCTTTTCCTTTTCTTTCAGCAACAGGATGAATCACATTCAGCAAAGAACCTCCCAGATTACAGGGTAAGATAAAATGGCATGATATGAGGAGTCAAGCATATGCAGACGGGAAAGAAAAGATCCATCCATTACCAACAAATACTACTAAAGAGAACTCTGCTTCTTTTCCTGATAAATTGTAATCAGTTAACCATGTTGCAATAAAGTTACACATTCTTAAAACTTTTGAGAGGATGATTTTTAAAATATCAGATAACATAATTTACCTAATCCACATTCAATGAGGCTAGCTTTGTTGATTAAGAAATCATGCATCAAGGCCTTGAATATTTTAGGATCTATTGATCCTGCAAGATGATTTCCAAGTCAGAGACACAACAGCAAAAATTGGTCCATACATGAGATCCAGAGAGATGATTTCTAGTCATAAGATCAACTCAACTGTTGAGGATGAATGGCATCAGTCCTTGGAACTCTCTATAAGTGCCTGGACATGAAAGAGTCATGGTTTGCACAAACTCATGCACAAGAAAGAAGCATGCAAGTTCATCTCAAGAGAAATGGGTACTCAAGGTTTTAGTGACCTAGCAAAATTTGATGACTAAATGCCACCCTTGTTGTGCAACTAGTTACTGGAAACAATAAATTTCAATATATTTGCGGTTCAACTGTTCAAATGCACTGCAATGCGGTTTACTAAAAGCCAATATGAAAACACAGTTTCTCAATGTGAAAAAGTACCAGGGCATTAAAACTGGATGAACAACATGAAACAGAAAAACAGTATGGGAATATCTTAAAATATCAACTACTACATATCCTAAATAAGGATCCTGGAGTAAGAAGAAAAGGCTCACGCACAATAATCATTAAACCAAATGCGAAATCGATAATCCAAAGTATGAGAATACTAATCATGGTTACAACATTTGACATGATCTACAGATGGAAAACAGATTCCCTGTCCAAAAAGTTACCTTTGATCTTCTTTGTATTCTTCTGAGAGCTTGCATTAATTATCCTAAATACAGATTAAGGCCAAGTAAGCAGACATCAGAGAAAAACAAGTTCAGAATACAGTCAGCTTATACACAAAGTACTTCATTCTAATCACATAAATGACTTTGATAATAAAACAAACTAATCCTTATCCAACAGAGTTAATTGCAAGTCTAAATGCAAGAAGACTACATGTGGATTAGCATGTATAGCTTCCAGTCAATTTAAGATCAACCAGCCACATCACCACTTGCATATACCATCTTTCATGGCATTTACATATATATCCTGTTTGGAAACAGTATTTCCTCCAAATTTGATATTACATATCCCTCCAAAAGTTCAGATTTATATATATATATCCCTCCAAAAACTCAAAATCTTTTATTTCTGTCATCCCTGATAACATCAACCCAATAAACTCGAGTTAATTACTACTAATCATTGTAATCACTAAATTTGAATAATTCTGATTACCTAAAATGCCCTTTGTTACTCCTGTTCAATTAGATGATTCCTTATATTCACTAACATTTTTTAATGAGATATTAATGTCAATTTGAGTTTCAACCTCATTATATTAATGCTCAACTGACAGATTAACTACAATGACATACAAGTTTTCGAGCTTTGCTTAAGTTAAGATAAGGAACCATGAAAACCACCAACTTTGGAGAAAGATATATGTATGCAATTTTCTCTAAAAAAATTTAGGGATGCATATATGAAATAAATTAAGGAACTTCCATGATAAAGCTAAAGAAAATGAACTGTACAGTAGAATACACCAAAAGACCTGCAATCACCATCCTCTCAGTACATCCAGGGCTAAACCACATCCACAATACAGCCATTACCAACTAAATGGAAAACCAAGACTTGCATGGCTGCAACTATCAGCAACAAGAGACTCGAAGAATAATAGCTTACAGAACTAGAGCATGGAGCACGGAAGCATCTCCCAGATGACCATATGAAATGGGAACCACAACCAGAGAACATCAGCAATTTTGGTCCACTATATAATCTACAAAACTTCTATTCGATCTCCAGCCATCAATCATCAAGTTGTGTTTTGCATAGGCCTGGCATCACATAATCAAAGGCAATCATGAAGCACATGAGCTCGTAAAATGATGCCAGGTATTATCCCCATTGCCTAAACGAAATAATCCTGTCGAACCACAGCAACAAATTCCCCAGACAACAAATCATCGTCCTTGAGCTTTCCCAGATCACCATTTCCTTGGATGTGCCAATATATTTTAGGAGAGAGTGGTGCATATAAATCTGCAAGGTTGCATAACAAACTTATATGATGATAATGAACTAAGAAAAAAACGTATTATGATTATACAGATTTCTGTCATCACAATCAGCATACAAATAAATGAGCATATATAACAATAACCACAAAAGCTCAATGTTTCTCTTTATGCAGGGAAAATGTTTGTGACCAGTTATACTGGGAAAGCTTGTGGTTCTCATATCTCAGCAATGTTTAGCACCAGAATCATGAGTGTATCAAAAACACAGATAATTATACATGACATAAAGAATATGATATATGTAAATGAAGAAAACGAAGAAAGTACAAGTCAGATGGGCTTCTCTCGCTGTCACAATGCTTAACTCATTTGATCAATTGGATTATAGTGACAACCTCCTCAATGTTTCAGAATATCCACTTATGGAAAATATCCAAGTGATTGAAAATACTAGTAGATGGAATTCAACAATCACCTAGAACATTTTTATGTTATATTTAACAGAAGTACTGTGAATATAAATACTCCCAAAAATGAGACAGAAACTTCACATATAATTGAGTATAATGTATATCCTGATATTCCATTCAAGTTTGAATCCTACGGCTGTTTACTTCCCATGAAATTAACAGTGAAAAGAAAATTTTCTCACAGGCTGAAGTCACAATCATTGACGCCCATAGTGATCTTAGATGGCTTTGATTTACCTGAAGAGGAAGGTGGATCTGGTTCTCTTGTAGAATGTAACACTGTAGTCCCGGAAATTACTGTAATAAGCCCACAAATCTCTGATGCAATATTACTTGCACTCTGCCCAGACCAATCCTGTGCATGTACAAAGAAATTACCTCTAGACAAATATCAACATAAGAATAGAAAACTGAACATTGTTAATCATTTCTGTATTCAGTACCTTGAACATAATGGCACTTGCTAATATTGTAAGAATTGTGAACATGGCATAGTAGACGGGAGAAACAACTGCAGTATTGAAAGTATCCAATGCCTGGAGAGGGAAAAAAAAAGAAAAACAGACAATAAGACACATTCGGGGCCTTGAATTTGTTTTGGAAAGCCATTAAGTCGGGTAAGAGATAAAATAAAATAAAAAATTCTTGGTTAGCTCTTCCATTAACCTTAAAATCATTAATCCATGTGTAGCTAATTTCGACACAGAATGATAGGTTAAACTTAGCAAACTGACATAGATGTAATTGTGAAACATGATAAGAAAGTGATTTTCAATGTGCATTAACCGAATAATTTGTCTCCAACAATGATTTTAATGATAACACCTGTCACAAAAATAATGATCTATTACTTCTGCTTCCAAACATTCTTTGTAATTTTAGAATATTAACTATTTGGCACAAGCATTTCAAAAATGCCAACCTGCCAGGAGATGAGTCATTGACCATATCTTGCCCTGGACAGCAAAATCCGGGTCATTGGGAATCTTTATAGGAGCCAACAGCCCTACCTAACAGAGAAAGCGAGCGATATTCATGCTAACCATTCTCCCCAAGCAAATGAACAAGCAGGCTTTCTATTACAGTTTGGCCAAGGCTAAGAGAGGGCTAGGCACTTTCATAAACAATAGAAGATTATTAGCAAAGTTTACTAGTATATTTTATTGTATTATCAGCATAGCAATACTATATATAATTACAAAGTCTAAATAAGTAGATTTCAGATAAAATTATGGGGGGAAATAGTAGCCCTATAAAAGAAGGTTCTTGAAAGGCTTTAAGCATGCTTAAATATTATTTCTATCTTTTTCAACAACAAAGTTAGATCAGTATAGTCTCATAGCACTTGGCAGGCTTTTCCTCTATCTCGAATCAGAGAGGCGCTTATTAATGGCAATACTCTAACAATTAGCCTAATGCAGTTTAGGAATGGGCATTGTACACCTCTGTGCGAATGAAGTTGGCTATTTTATTAGAACTTTCAGTAATACAACCCTACAAACCATCCAAATAGCTTCTATTATTCTACAGGTCAAACCACACTGCTTATATACTAGCAGATTATGCCACCCACAAAGGTTGAACCAAAATCTTGGCCCACCTAAATTGACTGGAATACAATTTTCTGATGCAAACTTAGCAAGTTATAAGCCACAGTAATAAATCATTTAACTGGAAGTTTGAACCAACAACAGTTAATCTCCTTGTACTTTCATAAGAAGATAACAATCTAGCAAGTCAGCATACAACTAAAGTGTACTTCTCAGTGGAAAAGAAGTAACTGGAGATAGATAGTAAGCGGCACAATCCTTAAATAAAAGAGAAGACTTTGTTGCAATTTGATGATTATAAGTTCTTTGTCCCTAATAAAAGAGAAGAGAAGACCAGATCTCTATTGAAGCAGAACTAATTAGTTTATCCTTTATTTAAATAAATTTAATTAGTTTAGTGATATTTTGCATATGTAATAAGTTGTCATATATCGGTATCTACTCAATAACAAGGAAAAAGGAAGCAAATGCAGAAAAGATGGGAGACATTAAATTTGTTTTTTTATTGAAGATCACAAATCTTGATTGAAGATTCATCTCTACAAAGATGAAAATCTATCAATCAAGAATATCATCAAGAGAGGAAGATTATTGCTCAAATCAAATTAGAAATATTACCTTCTTCAAAGGAAAAAGAATATCATACATCTGATTTGATGTGATTGTAATTTTTTTTTATTTCTGTAATTTTCTTTTTATTCTTGTACTTGAGCCTATAAAAAGGGGCAAGAACATTGGCATGCATGAATGAGAAATGGATTAATGAATTAAGTTCTTTCCCACCTTGTGTGTAGATGGTGCGAGGTCACAATTATGTTTCTGATGGTATGATCCCACCGTCTACATGCGAGACGTGTAGAGGTGCGAGGCCTTCATCCTAAGAGTTAGCTCCTAGAGCCAGAGCAAGTCTGGTAGTTATTCAAGCTTTTTCTATTATCTTTCAATTATTATATTTCTCTTCTTTCTTTCTATTCTCCATTTGTTGCTCATCCTACATCATCTATATTCCTCAAAGGCCATATCTAGAGAATGTCCATATAAAATCACACATCATAAACTCTATTTAACCCGATTGCTAGAAGAGCCAAAGAAAAGATCATAACTACAATACTGAACAAATCTACATAAAGTTATTCTGAGGCCCAAGTTCACATTTGTCTTTTAAAAGGAACTGACACTGATCTTCCTATTTCTGGAGACAAATCCCACTTCTCTATTTCTGCATCTCCTAGATTAGCTAGGTTTTATTTACGAAATGTGACAACTACAGCTATCCCAGTTGCATGCAGCTTCCACTAACAAATACTTTAAGGAAACAAAATGAAATTTTCAATCAAATATACTTGTACAATTGTATTTAAAAGACAAACCTTTACTTGTTAAAAGCTATGTTATCAATTTCACAAAAGCTAGTCTTGAAGCCATGAAGCTATGTTATCAACATCACAAACAATAAACTATAGTGAACAAATATAATATTCTAGGAACCATGAGCATGAAAGACTCATGTAATAGATCAAAGAATTAAACATACAAGTATGCTGTATCAAGAAGCCCAAAAAGGAATTCTCACATAGTTGAAGATAGCTATAAATACCAGAAAGAGGAAAAGATAGAAACCTACCTTGATTGCACACTATTGTTATTTATTTCGTTAGCAAACACAAAACATGTTCAACAATTATGGGAATTGGGATACAACAAATTTTCTAACATAATTATTCAGAACCCAAGCAAAACTCATATTAAACAACTGTAGCTTTGAACTCCTAGAAACCTACCTTGATTGCATGCTATTGTGATTTACTTCATTGGCAAACCAAACATGTTCAAAGATCATGGCAACTGAGATGCAACAAAGTTTCTAAAGAAAGTTATAAAGCAAAACTCATATAAAACAAGTGTAGTTTTAAAACTCTAAGAAAAAAACATTACATAATTGCAAAAGAACCTATATGCTATAACACACACACACACACACATAAAATGGTAACTAATATGTTAGAAAAATAATTATGCATCTAATTGTGAATATTGAAGGATAGTGAAGTTGTAGCATCTCTCTGGGATATCCAGAAACAGGCAGCACCATAAGACACCTATGGAACTGCACTGCAGTTCAAGTTTGCTCAAGTCGCTAACCTTGTTCAAGTAGTTCAATTGAATTATGATGCAGGATATTGCCACCATCACAAATACCCATGTCTGGAAGTAACCAGCTTGATTGATGCCCTCCATTGTAAGCTTGATTGCAATTCCTACGGCCTTAATACTCATCACCTGAACAGTTGATAAATATAAGAGATAACAAGAGCAGAGCATTAACGGAAACAAACACACCATCATCACAACATCATTACCGTCAAAGATCCAATTACAGAGCATATGCCCAAGTACACCATTATGTTTGTCTGCCCAAACCGTGGAGAACAATGCAACATAAGCACCAGAGATACTGCAACTGCTGAAGCCGCATACAAAAGAAAGGCTGACAAACGCACATCAAGCAATAAATAACACGCATCAGAAACAAGATGACCAAGCAAGTTGATTAACTGAACAAAATCATGAATGAAAATGAATACGCCTCAAAAGCACTAAATGAACTCAAGAATAAGCCATCATAGAATACCTGGCTGTGTCGCTAGATCCCATATCTGTTCAACAGAGCTCGGGGTCCTCTCCTCTGGTGCATGGAGCACGATAACTGTTGAACCCACCATGCAAAGCACGCAGCCCAACACACCCATCCTCTGCAATCTCTCTTTGAGAATAAAATGGGCCAAAATGGCACTGCAGTCACCATTTCTCAGCATTAAAACCAGTTAAAAAGACAAATTTTTGACTATTATATAAAATCTGCATCCAGCAAACTTTCAGATGCACACCTCTTACCTAACAATGATACTCAAAGCACCCAGCGGAGTGACAAGAACAGCTGGGGCAAACATGTAGGCCACAAAATTCGCAATTTCACCAACAATCACTGCAACAAATTCAACTTTCCTTCAGGATTCAAAAGACAAAAGAAATAGTAAATGAATCGACCAAAAAGGGGCTTACTTGTGACCATCCCGATCCACCACAGAGGCTCCAGTAAATATCCGTACCCACCTATGCCTGGAGAACCAAACAAAGCAAGCTATTCTCTTTGAACACAATTTGAGATTAGGGCTAGGGCAAGGAGGAGAGAAGGGGAGGGCGAAGGGTGACGTACCGGCGCGGGAGCCGCAGGCGCCGGCGCGCTTGAGGCCCTTTTTCTTGATGATGAAGCTGGCTCCGATGAAGGCGCTGGAGGCGACGGCGAGGAGGAAGCCCTTGAGGTTGTCGGCGAAGAGGTGGGCGGACCGCGCGTCGGCCGGAGCTTGCTCCATCGGTCGGGCGGCGTCCTGCCGCTGCTCATCTACCAGCCCGCGGACCTCATTCGAAGGCCTCGTGAAAAGCGAGAGGGAGGGAGGATGGAGGGGCGAAGAATAAGAATAAACATATACAATAAAGAAAAGTGCTGAGCTTTGTCTACAAATGGGACGGGCGGAGGTGAGAGAACGTAAAACACATCATATTTCTCCTCAGAAATAGGATGATAGCAGTAAAAATAATAAAAAAGAACAATTTTTAATGCGGATTGGCCCTGAAACGAGGCCCCAATAACCAGTCATAACGAGCCACAGCCTCTTTGAACAACGGCTTCACCCGAAGACTGGGACCGAACTGTGTCTTCGTCTTCCTCCACCGCCACATATTAATTGCAGTATGTTTCAAACAGATACCTCTCGATTACAAGCGACCATCTACTACTCCCATTGAATTTGACCTAAAAAATGTTGGATCGGGTTGGCAACAAGCAATTATACGATACAAAAGTCCAAAAGCCATCGACTTGTCTTAGGTCAGGAGCTTACTAGTCAAATTAACAAACAGCTAACGGGGATGAGCTGGTGGTCCATCTTCGAGTCCACGAAAGGAGGGCGCGGGCAGCGCGTCCCACGCTGTTGGGGACGGCGGGCAGGTGCAAGTTGGGCTCAGATCCCAAGCAGAAACGGATTGGAACGGGGGATGAAAAGGGCAAACCAACAGGAGGCAGGAGGGGCTGCGTCGCTCTCCGACCTTTAAATTGGCTGTCGGGGCATGGCAGGCATCTCGACACGCAGCAGCTTCGCATCTCTCTATCTGCTTCGCAAATCGGAGCCGTTCGATGGATGCTCTGACGCGTGTGGTCTTGTCAGAACAAGAAGAATACGAATTGAAGTGTGCCTTCTCAGGCAGCAAGAACAATCCACGACCCATCTTTGACCCTTCATTCCATCTGGAACTATGCTTCGGCGGAACGAAAACGAAAGTTGATTGTGTTTTGCGCTTTCACCGATCCGTCTTCTCCCGAGCTGGATCATATTTCGAAAAGGTTGATCTTTGGGAAATAGATATCACAATGACGTTGTGCGGTTTAGGTAAGATTAATTCGTGAATACGATCGTACTAACATTAGTGCATCGGATCGCATGAGAATTCTAAGGTTAAACGTGTGTGACAAGAATTATACTGAAAAAATGCATTGGAAAATTGGGAAAAAAAGAAAAAGTGCTTTCTTAGTGTAGAAGAAAAGAGTGGATCTCTTACCATTTCTTCTGGTTTGTGACCATGTAATTTGTTTCAAATGATTCCTTTCATCATTTAATTGTGAGGCCCACATGAGCGAATGGGTTAGCCACTTGTTCCTCTCTATCCTATTCATTTAAATTAAATTAAAATATTTTATTAATTATAAAATAAGTTTTAAAAATAGGATGATTAAAAAAAATTATTTTTTTTCTAATTAGCATCTCATTTTTCATTTATTCTAGTAGAGCATTCTTATTTTTTAAAGGATAAAATTATCTCTGGCCTTTGCTCTGCTACACTCACACGCTCTCATCCTTGTTATCATTTTCGCTCATACGCTTTTACTTTTATTGTCATTCTTGTACTTTTACTCTTATCAAAATTAGAAATGAGAGTATGTGAACGAGGACGATAATAAGACTGCACGAGTAATACATGGCAAAAAGTGTTATGTGCAAATATATAGGAAAAAAATGCTAATTGAGAAAAAAATAGAAACTTTTTTAAAGAATTTTTTTTTAAATATCCACCACAAATTTGCATTGCAATTTCAAAATAATCCAATTTGAAATCACAACTGACTTGAAATCATATATATATATATATATATATATACTAAGTAGGCGTATCATATCAACATAATACAATAATAATAACAATAAAGTCTAAAGTTTTAACTATTTGGAATCAATCACATGCATAGATCCATATTTATAGATTTGATATAGTTTTATATTGATTGTTAGTGTAAACGTTATCTGTAAACCTAAAAATAAGTAATGGATTAGATGAGGATGGATCAGAGCTCAATCCAATGTCACTACCGCTCACAAGAGAGATCAACGCATGGACGCCTTGACGATGACCGGAAGCAACAGATGAGGCACAGAAGTCTTCGTTCCCAAGACGATGTCTCATCCTCCGAGCTTCGCCATGGCCACCACATCACAAACAAAGCCATCATCCACTTGCAGGTCAAAATAGCGCGTACGAACAAGAAGAGTCCAAGACAGTATATTCTCCGGAGTGGGCTGCCCTGCCCTCTCCATCACATGGTGGAGCCGGCGGCCGAACAAGATATCGGAAAGCCCCCCATATCCACTTCCCGCCGCCTCCACCTCTCCTTTCTGTGGAGGCCAAACGGCGGTCCAGATTGGGCTGTGTGGGTGGTCACAAAACCCCTAGTCTATCTTCCTTTATTCTTTTTTCTTCCAAACCCCTCCTTTTTATTTTCTTTATGGATAATGATGACAATAATAATAATAATATGACGAATTTTTCATAAAAATATTTTTTTTAATCTTTTTATTTTCCTCAAGAGAATGGTCCTCTATTTCAAACCCTCTTTTGAATATGATCTACAAATTATGAAGCATTTTAATACTATTTAAAAAATTAGATATTATCTCGGTTAAGACATCTAGCATTTAAATCATCTCATGTTTAATACATGTGTGAACATTATATACGATATTTAATGTAATATTTTTTTTATTTTTTGAAAGTAAGATGTTCTACTATACACTAAAAAAATATAGATTCTCTAAAGAGAAAAAGAATTATTTTATGAATTCAATATATAATATTAAACAATAATAATACAGCCTTTTTATTTTCTTTATTAATATACAATGAAAAATTATTATAAGGCAAATTTTTAAATTTTTTCTTTAAAGCGTCCCTTATTTTAAATATCTTATAGAATGCCTCTTTTTTTTATTTATAAAAATATCTGTAAAATGAGAGGTATTTTGACATCATTAAAAGAATGGGACACTCCGTGAGAACTTAAAAAAATCGAGGGTTATAATAAAAATTAGTCAATAGTGATAAATAATGATAAAAATAATGATAATTTGACCATGGCAAGTAATGCCACCACTTAAAGCAGATGCAGCCTCCACACTCCATTGGTGGGCACAGATTCTTGGAAAGATTTATTTAGGTTTTGTTTTGTCTCACTCGGTGCACGGCGGCAACGCCTCCGGCCGGAGGCGGTGTAGGCCGCTGACCCAAAACGGAAATAAAATTTTGCAGGTTTGTTTCCCTTTCTTAACTTCATGACTACAATTCTTTCCAAATTTAGAATAATCAAACGGTTTCTTTGGGGAATGCCTTGGAATTATATTCTCATAACACCTGAAAGATATGTTAACCTCCATTCTGGATCTCTTGTTGTATATCGTGGCTATGGATTCGTAAGGTGCGGCTTTTAATGCTCTCGAGATATAGAAGATACCGTTGTGTGGATTCGATACATCTGTTCGTACACGCATCCCTAAAATGCACTCTTGATAGATTACTCGTCAATTTTACCTATTCGAGTCGGATGTTATCGGAATCTATAAAACCCCTGACCGTATCTTTCGTCGTCGACCACGCGCGCGGGTTTCGAGCGCCTCTCTGCTTTTGCCTTGCCTTCCCTCCTCTAATGGCTGCTGCCACATACCGCGCCACCGCTCGCCATCCATCCTCCTCCCCTGTGTCCTCTCTCTGCCCCTCCAAAGCCTCCCCCTCCTCCCTCCCGTTTCCCCTTAGACCATGCCCCAATCAGCCCCTCCTCCGCTCCCACCTCCGCCTGTCCTCTTCCGCATCCGTCGCTGCTGCTTCCTCCTTCGCCGAACTGCCTTACCCTTCGTCTGACGATGTTTTCGCCTTTGATGACAAGCCCCGCGAGGAGTGCGGCGTATTCGCCATCGTCGGCGACCCGGAGGCCGCCCAGATGTGCTACCTGGGCCTGCACGCCCTCCAACACCGCGGCCAGGAGGGCGCTGGAATCGTCTCCTCTGACGGCGCGTCGCTCCACTCCTGCACCGGCCTTGGCCTCGTCTCCGAGGTCTTCTCCCACACCTCCAAGCTCGAGCCCCTCGTCGGTTCCGCAGCCATCGGCCACAACCGCTACTCCACCGCCGGCGCAACCTCCGCCCTCGCCAACGTCCAGCCCTTCGTCGCCAGCTACCGCTTTGGCCAGCTCGCCGTCGCCCACAACGGAAACCTCGTCAACTACCACTCGCTTCGTTACGAGCTCGAGTCCAGAGGGTCCATCTTCAGCACCACCTCCGACACCGAGGTCATCCTCCACCTCATCGCCACCTCCACCACCCGCCCCCTCCTAGCCCGCATCATCGAGGCCTGCGAGTCCCTCGAGGGCGCCTACTCCCTCGTCTTGCTCACCGCGGACAAGCTCTTCGCCGTCCGCGACCCCCATGGCTTCCGCCCCCTCGTCATGGGTCGCCGCCCCAACGGCGCCATCGTCTTCGCCTCCGAAACCTGCGCCCTGGACCTTATCAGCGCCGAGTACGTGCGGGAGGTGAACCCCGGAGAGGTGGTCGTCGTCGACGGCCACGACATGTCCATCATCACCTCCTGCCTCTTGCCCAAGAAACCCCGCAAAGGTTGCGTCTTTGAGCATGTCTACTTCGCCCTCCCCAACTCCGTCGTCTTTGGTCACCCGGTCCACGCTTCGCGCTACAACTTCGGTGCAGCACTTGCCCGCGAGTCCCCTGCACCAGGCGCCGACATCGTGATTCCGGTCCCGGACTCCGGATTCTTCGCTGCGCTCGGCTTCGCCGAGGCCTCCGGCTTGCCCTTCCGGCAGGGCCTTATTCGCTCCCACTACGTAGGCCGCTCCTTCATCGAGCCAAATCAGGAAGAGCGCAACCTCGCCGTCAAGCTCAAGCTCGCACCGGTCTATGGCATCCTCGAAGGCAAGAGCGTCGTCGTCATCGACGACTCAATTGTGCGGGGAACCACCTCGTCCAAGATCGTCCAACTCATTAAGAACACCGGAAAAGCTCGGGAGGTCCATATGAGGATCGCCAGCCCACCCATCATCAGCTCCTGCTACTATGGCGTCGACACACCGAGGGCCGAGGAGCTGATCTCCAATCGTTTGGACGTCGAGGGTGTGAGACGAGCAATAGGGAGTGACTCCCTCGCCTTTCTCTCGCTCGAGAGCTTAAGGGTAGCATTTGGGAAGGAAGGCCACATGTTCTGCGATGCGTGCTTCACTCGCAGATATCCAGTGCTTCCAAGGGAGCACGAGGCCGTGAACGTGGCGGAAGAGTGAGGCTTTACGCTTCTCTGTTGAGATACCAATTCTATCCGAAGTCATACATCCAATATGGAAGAAGCTCAAAAGATTTTGATTTACTTACATTTTCTTTTGGTTTTAGTTTTCATCTTCTACTCTTTCTATCTGTTCAATTCGAATATGATATATTGGCATTATAGTTCGAAGGGAATGGAACAATTCTTTAATGTTAGTTTCAAATCATCAAAGTAATTTAGTGGATTGAAGAGGAATTCTACTAGTCAAACAATTCTTTCCTCTGTTTTCTTTAATGCTTTACATGTGAGATCAACTTTCTTTTAGGGGTTTGCTATGTTTGCTGAAGCTTAGTTATTCTGTTGATGACATTAGGCTTCCCAATTGTTATGCAGAACATGGTGGATTACAGGATGTCAAATACTTGACAAGGTCTGCTTGTGTAGCAGTCTAGCTGGCCAACTACTCTGTTCATTTTTAAGATCATATACTGTCTGTTGTGTCTTCCACAATGGAACCTTGTGGTGTTTTAGAACTCGTATATGAGTCAGTCCATATCTTTTATCATTTTAAATGCATGGAAGAATAGAAAGATGGTTTTAAAAGTCAAGATGATTTGAAATTTACAGATTAAGCTTTTGCTCTGTATCCAAATTGTATTCTTAGATTCTGCCAAAGTTCAAGTTTCTTGATGCATCACATTTCAAAATTGGACCATGAGGGCACATAAGTGTATCATCTGTCCTTACATGTCATTGCTTCTGAGCCTGTTAATGGTCTTGTTTGTAATACAGGGCTACAATACTGCTGCAACTCTGTTTACATTCTACAGAGAATGCATTTTGAATCAGTGAACAATGTTTTGTGAATGCAAATTCATCTACTTGAGATGTAATGGTTTCCAAAATATGTTTTCTGTTCATGTATAGAGTCTTCAATTCTTACTAAGTATGATGAAAGTACTCCAGCTATAGTCAGACTGCTATCTTCCTCTGTTTTCTTCCTGGTTAAAATATCTCTGCTTTCATCTCTGATCATCTTTTGTTTTTTATATACATAAAATGCAGGGTATTAAATCACTATTGGATGTCTATGGATGCAGCAAAATAATACATGAAAACCGTGTTTTTTTCTACTTCTTTGGGTATTGGAAGAAAAATTTCCTTGATTTCTTATGATCGTAAAACTCTCAACCTCTGTTTCTTCTTCTGCACTGTGAAGTACGAGCTAATCGGGCATTATTACCTCCTCAGGATTCGTGCATCCATCTGATCAATGGTGCGTAGAGTGGAGGGCTGCGGTGCGTTGATCCTAATCCGTTCGTTCATCTCTGATGGCCCCGCTCCCAGTTGAAATCTGACCCGTCCAAGGCTTCCCCATTGTTTAAAATGGAGAACATCCGCCGCCCTGGACGTTCGTGTCCGCAGTCGTCTGCGGTGAGATTCATCTGCATTCATCGCTCGAAAGGTTTAGATCTTTTCATTTGCGCCATTTGATCTGCGGGTTTTGTTCACCATCTCGATTTCTTCGCATTCGACTTCTTGTTTTCAGGCTTTGATTCTGATTCTTTATTACCAATTTTCATCCAAGATATATGGTGAGCGAGACATTCCAAGTGCTTTGTTTTCGTCTTTTGTGGAATGGAGTGTGCCGGATTTGTAGTCGTAATCTAATGGGGAAATAGTTGGCGTTATTAATTGGTCGATTAATATGGTTATCGAGCTCATTCTTTTAATTTGTTGATAGAACTTAGTATATAGTTTGGAACTGATCAATAAGATGAGTCAATTGCTTTTTTTTTTTTTTGGAATATATACATTAGATCGACATACATACATACATACATATATATATATATATATATATATATATACACACACATTTTATTAGTCATTTTATTAGCATTTGGAGGCTTCCACACTCTTCAATGATGTCATCTTATTAGTCTCCCATTTTTCTAATATTTGATATCATTCTTCAAAAATTATTTTATTTCGATGTCATGAGAGGGTAAGTGAAAAAGAAAAAAAGAAACCTAATATAATAGAGGGGAAATAATTGATAATACAACAGTTTTGTAGGAATTTAAAAAATATATATATTTTTAAATTCAGACTAACAGTTAGCCGTGGTTAATTAGGTCTTATTAGATTGATGTTAATGGGAGTAACATATGTGGAGGAACAAAATATATCGGAACATTTATGCTATATTAAAATGTGTATGGACAAATTTGTTATTTCCAAACTTTAAAAGGATATATATGTAAGTTTGTATACAAAACTCATTCTTTAAGGGAGCTTAAATTATGACCAAATAGAGTGAGAAATGAGAGAATATAATGCAAGGTAATCATAGTCTACACCTAGGTAACTAAAGATTTAGTTGAACTATGTTAGATTCTACCAAATTTGGGTCATAGTCTAGATCAGTGTTATTATTATTATTTTTTGTATGTTCTTGTGCTTCTTGGGGGAATTGCTTTTTATACATTTTTGTGTAGTAAAACATGGGTTGAAATACCTTTTTTTTTTACTGAGTTTGTGAATGTAAAGGTTTTTTTACTATTAAGGAACAGATATAGTCTAGTTGAATTAATGTTAAAATCAAAGTTGATTGGATTCAAATGGCAGAAGAAGAATAATAAGAAATATATAGGTGAGAAGTCTTCTCTTTCCTTATATCTAAAAGTATGTAAATATTATGCTATATGAAAGAATTGAAATCCTAGATAAATATATATAAAAAGATTGTTTGAACCCTAGTATCTGTTTCTTAGCTTATCGAAGGATAAACTTTAATTAAATTAGTTCATCTGATATGACTTAAAAATTTACAGATAATAATTAGTGTCATTTATTTATTTAGCCCCTTGAACATTATCCCATAAAATGATATTAACACTTTATAATTTGATTTAGGATAGGTGATTTTATCATGCATTGCTTTCAAGTTTCAACAAAAAACTTCAATCTCCTCTTACTCTTAGTTGTGTTTCTCTACTTTATTGCTGTATATCGTGTTTTACTTCTTCCACTCCATACTGATGTTTGAACTATTCATCAATGGGTAGTCATAAGAAGTGTGAACTTCTTCTTGCATTTTAATTTCTTTTAAAGTTTCTAATTATTTAGCATCATTAACTCTCTTCAGTTTCATCAATGGATAGTCATAAAAAGAATGCAAATGTCCTACAACTGTTCTTCACACTGATCAAGTAAACATGTCTTGTAGATATATTTTCTGAAATCGATTGTTATGTTCATGTGATGTCTTTTTTAGTAAGCAATCTTTTTGCCATACAACAAAATATTTGTTATGTGCTTTTAAAAGAGAGATGTGGTATGAGATACATAGAAAAATTTTGTGCAAATTAAATGAAAAGTATGGTGGAATGGAAGAGTGTGTTGAACCAAATTCTATTAATATAGATTAACTGCTATACCTTGTGAGTTCATATTAATATATATTAACTGTGTTCATAATTGTTATGAACACAGTTAATATGTGTTCGTAGCGTATGACAGTCACTTGTGAACAATACAGTGACCAATCGGATGCCCCAACAGAGATGATTTCTACATATTACTATAAAACAATTCTATTTATAAAAACAAAAACAATTGTGTCAATCAAAAAGGGAAGTTATAACAACATCCAAGCTAGTAGAAAACTTGCATCAATGCACCGTCACAAAGTTATAAATTTTCCTACAGAAATATAAGATAAAAAAAATCTTATTTATTACATATTTCAATCTATAATCAATCCACTCACAACACATACAACAAAATCGATAACTTCTTAAATGTTCATAACATTCAAGTTCGAATAACACACATACAAAATAATCTAAATGTGCAATATTGTTCAATACAAAAGACACTTAAATCTTTCTTCATATCATATCCACAAATGAGCTACTCCTTCAATCTGCAATTAAAAAATATATATATATATATATGAGAAAAGCAAACATCGTAACTCACATACAAACAAAATTTATCATAATTAAGTATGTTTTTTTTAAACATAAGACTCATTTAAACATTCAATGCATGCGTTCTAAAACATACATAAATATCAATTTTTTGTTTACATATAATTTACAAAACTTAAAATTTATACGTATTTTAAATGCTAAATAAATTGCTTATCATACTTTTTTTTTTCAAGCAACATATATTTAAATATATTTTCGTAATAAAAGCATAATACAACTAAAACCATATATCAGATCATAAATCATTATAGTATAAAGAATTGCCATTAACTAGTCATAAAAAAACATAAATATAGTTGAGGATTCAGCGTAGAGAAATAAATTGTACCTTTTACAAGTAAGCCCTTACTAAGTCTTGTATTTAGTTTTACTATTAGTTAGAGTGGTCTCAGAGACTAGGAGGGAAAACCAACCGAAAACAACGAAAAACCAATTGCATCGATGCGGAGAAGCAATGGTTGGATGTGATGTACCTTAATATCCAAAAATCGACCCGAACTCTTCATCTCGGCCAAGCGCTTCTCCAACTGCTCCGTCAACCTCGGATGGCAGCCACTGAAATGTAGATTCATGAGGGACGTCGGCAGCCCCTTCTCCGGTACCGACTGAATCTCCGGACATTCAATTATTGTTAAAAGCCAGAGGGAGGAAAGGGCATGCAACTCTGTCGGTAGCGATTGTAGATTCTTGCAATTCTTGAATTCTAGCCATCTGAGAGCTGTGAGGCTTCGAAACAACTGCTCCTCCTCACCAGACAGCGTGGCTCGAGGAAAGTTTGAGATTGTGAGAGCACGGACGGATGGAAGTATCCTTCTTAAGAACGGTACTTTGAACAGGGCTGTGTCGTCGATACATAATTTTTCCACCGACAAAACCCCCACTTGCCTATTCCCTTCATTTAGCAACAACTCGTCTATTGACCTCAACTCACCACATTCCCAAATCTTCAGATATTCAAGTCGTTTCAGGTGAAGCAGCGACGTTTCTGGAAGAGATTCTATGGACGGGCAGCCGCCTATTTCCAATCGAGTGAGTGAGGTCAAGTTGTGCAGGCAGCCCAGTAGCAATTTTCCCAGATTCCCACAGTCAGACAGCACTAGTTCCTTGATCGAGGGTGGGAGGCAGATGTTAATGTCCCCATCTCGCGTCATGCTCAAGAGCTTCGGGCAACTGCGGATTGACAACTTCTCAAGGGAGGTGAGTTCTTTAAACTCCTTCACCGGCAGCCACACGAGTTCAGCGCATTCCAATATCGCAATGTCACCGATATTTAGGAAGCTGTGCGAGAGCAACCCTTCTTCCAGATTTCTTAGATTTGGACATTGACTTATTTCCACTGATGAAAGAGAAGCAGTTACACAACTGCCGCCTCCATGGATTCCTTCCCGTAACCCTGCAACTTCGGTCAATCCGACTTCATATAAACTTAATGTTTCAAGTGGAGGGAGGGGAGGCAACCTCTTAAGCCTCGGGCACTGTACAATTTCAAGTTCTCGCAAGCAGGGAAACAGCTGTCGGCCATCAGCCCAAGACCACTCTTCCCATTCTGGCATGTCGATGAACGCGAGCTCCTCCAAGCTAGGAAAACATTTGCCTT